TATATATATATATATATATATATATATATTTTGTATATATTCTTGTTTCAGCTGCTCCCTTCATCAGGGGTCACCTCAGTGAACTAAGTTGCACCAAGACTTGGCAATTATTTTTACACAGGGTGTTCCTCCTGACACAACCACAGACACCGAGCTACCACAGCTCTCTGTGTGGAGCACATGGTGGGGGTTAAGGTGCCTTGCTCAAGGGTCCAGAGTGGAGCAAATGAGGGTGGAGACAGGTGTCTCACCTATCCCACCCACATTTTGATGTTGTCGGTACGAGGAGTTGAACCGACAACCTTCCGATCACAGGCCCACCTTCTCTAACCTCTACGCCACCACTCCCATACACTAAACAATAATAATGCAGTATAATATAATGCGGTGTATTAAACAGCAGCCTGAACATGAGTCTGTGGTGAGCAGATGGGTATGAATACAGCAGCAGGTAAGAAATCAGCAGCATGAATAATCAGCAGCACAAATAGCTTCATATCTGTAAAACTAACTAAACTGTAGCTGTTTTTCATGTTTTTCAGATCAGATGTCTGTGGCAGCCATGTTAAATCAGGTTAACCCTTTAATCTGTTGTAGACTCCAGCCAGTTGTTTTTTTTTTAATATCGTCTATTGGTTCGTGAGATATTTTGTTAACAGGCACAAACGAGGGCAAAAACCATTTTGTTGATAAAACCCTTCTCCTCATATTGATGTTTTTAAAATGACCATTAAGAAAACATCTTTGTGCAGTTTTCACGCTTTGTCCCAAAAGAAAAGATCAAATGAATAAATGAGCAGGTCACATTATGTCACGCAGCAGAATCCTGGCAGAGGTCTGTAGACTTCAATTATTTAAAATGCTGCTTTTGTATAACCAGGCAGAAATGTTCAGAGTGGGGGGGGGGGGGGCTGCTTGCAGTCCGCTGTGGGCTGAGTGTGGTGTTCAGGTGCTCCAGCAGAGTGTCCACAGCAGCACTAGAATAACCAACACTTCTTTTAAATAATCTCTTACAGCAAAACTGCTGAAGTCATCACCATCATCATCATCATCTATTTAATTAGTTTTAAGTGATTAATTGTTTTTTTTTATAGTGCAAATACTGATTCAGCAGCTACACTATTGTTTTAAACTTTAATTTTTCTGTTCTCGTTTGTTGAACAACCTCAGGAGTTTAGCCATCCATCGGAACGCTCCGTCCATTCAGCCGATGGAACCATGACGTTTTCATACAATTTTAAATGTTACAAAATATTTAATGCACGTTTTTCCAATAGCAAAACACTGAGATCTCTTGAAAAACATTGTTTTCCTTTAAATCTGCTTCACTATGCTCTAATACTGTCTTCTTATGCTACTTTTAGCTTTTAGCTACTGTTCTAGTATTTTTTACTTTTTAGTTCCCCTTTGTCTACTTTGGCTACTAGCTGGTCTGTTGGTACTAAAATGTACCATTCTCAAATGTTATCCTGCCATTTGTTGCTTTTAATTAGTCTTTGGCTACTTGTAGCTTTTAGCTAACCTTTTAAGACATTTAGGTTCTAGCTAGCATTTTATTACTTTTAGCTATCATTTTGCTTTGTTTAGCTTTCAACAAGCAGATTGCTATGTGCAGCTTCTAGTCTTTTGATAATTTTAGCTACCTTTATGAAACTTTGGTTTTTAGTTTTATGATTAATGTTTATTCATTTCTCTTAGTTCACCATGATCTACTTTTAGCTATTTTTAGCTAAAAGCCTTTAGCTGTGTTTAGCTTCTATATAGAATGTTACTACTTTCAGTTCTCATCTCATTACTATCAGCTCTGGGTAAGAATGTTTCTACTTTGAGCTTTAGCTAGTCTTTTTCAACCTTTAGTTGGGATTTGATACTTTTGGCAATTGACTAAACTTTTGATTATTAAAATTTTAGATCGTGTTTTGCTGCTTGTAGCTAGCCTTTTATTATATTAACCTTTAAGCCACTGTTTTCATTATTTTACGCTGTGTTATGTTTTTAACAAATCAGTTTCAACTTCACTAGTTTTCAGTAGTCATTCAGTGGTCACGTTTTTTAACAGAAAATTCAGTGTCTCTAGTTTATCAAACAAATTTAAACAGCTCAGATCAATTGACATTTGTTTTGCAAGAATTAACCACAAGTTCTAAAGAAGCAACAACAAATGTCAAATTGTATGAAGTCAAACATTACTTTTATTAAACCCGTCCTCACAACAACTCGTCCAGTAAAGAACACGTTCCAGGTGAAACCAGTCAACGGTTTCAACACAAGACGTACTAAACTCAAAATGACAAGTCAACTAGATAAGGTTATACTTCTACCACTCCCTTGAATATGTAAAACATAAAGTTTTGACATTATGCTTCA